ACAAAGAATCCGTAATGAAAAATGGCCAGAGAATTCAGATCCTTATCCTTGTACGGAAAGCGAGTTATTGACATCCTTTCCAGATTCTCAATGAAACAGATATAAGACCTTCATGTCTCTATGGAAACACGACAGGTGCCCTCACGAAGGGAGAGTATCAACTCGCCGTTTATAAACCCTCTCTGCTGAAGGAGGTAGGCGCATGGTGGGTTAGGTATATATAGTGTTCTTCATTGCAGAGAAAATTGTTGTTTATCTGTCTGCCTCGTCTTCATTGAGATAGTTGATGAATTGATGTCTGATGGATTATAAAAATATATCGCGTTTCAGTTACGAATGTTGAAACAATATCCAGACTCTTCATAGATTTATATTCTATGTTGGTATCACGATTCATATTTCAAATTGATCCTTAGTTTCAGATCCGAACGGCACATTGTTTGGCATGCAAGGTCCTTAATATAACCCACGTAATTGAAAATGTGGAAGATGCCTACTGGAAAAAACACTATTCGGAAAGAAAGCTGATATATGTAGCAATCCAGTTACGGACGATGAAAATATCATTCAGGTATGTCTCAGATTCAAATGTACTTCGATTAATATGTGATGTTCAGTTGCAGATCCGAAAGCAGTTTTTGATACTTGCCACTCAATCGGAGAAAACCACCCAGTCAAGACGAACCGAACAGAAGATCCGCAAAGAGACCTGACCAGAGTACACTTTACAGAATTCAGATCATTATATTCGTACGGAAGGCAATATATTGATATCCTTTCCAGATTCTCAAGAAAACAGATAAGACAGATATTCACCTTTATGTCTCTATGGAAACACGACAGGTACCCTTACGAGGGGAGAGTATCAACTCGGCGTTTATAAACCCTCTCTGCAAAGGAGGTAGACGCATGGTGGGTTAGGTATATACAGTGTTCTTCATTGCAGAGAAAATTGTTGTTTATCTGCCTGTCTCGTCTTCATTGAGATAGTTGATTAATCGATGAATTACAAAAATATATGGCGTTCCAGTTATGAATGTTGAAAACAATATCCAGACTTTTCATATATTTATATTCTATGTAGGTCTCACGATTCAAATTTGAAATTGATACTTGGTTTTAGATCTGAGCAGCACATTGTTTGGCCTTCAAGATCCTTAATATAACCCAATTAATTGATCATGTGGAAGATGCCTACTGGAAAATCCACTATACGGAAAGAAAGCGGATATGTAGCAATCTAGTTACGAACGTTGAAAATATTATTCAGGTATGTCTCAGATTCAACATCTATGTATTTCCTCTAATGATATTTTCTGATTCAAATGTACTTCGATTTGAATGTGATGTTTAGTTGCAGATCCAAGAAGCAGTGTTTGATACTTGCCACTCAATCGGAGAAAACCATCCAGTAAATACGGACCGAACGGAAGATCCGCAAAGAGAACTGACCAGAGTATACTTTACAGAATTCAGATCATTACCTATATTCGTACGGAAGGCGTTATATTGATCACCTTTCCAGATTCTCAAGCAGACAGATAGACAGATATTCAGCTTTATGTCTCTATGGAAATACGACAGGTACCCTTACGAGGGGAGAGTATCAACTCGGCGTTTATAAACCCTCTCTGCAAAGGAGGTAGACGCATGGTGGGTTAGGTATATACAGTGTTCTTCATTGCAGAGAAAATTGTTGTTTATCTGCCTGTCTCGTCTCCATTGAGATAGTTGATTGATTGATGAATTACAAAAATATATCGCGTTCCAGTTATGAATGTTGAAAACAATATCCAGACTTTTCATATATTCATATTCTATGTAGATCTCACGATTCAAATTTGAAATTGATACTTGGTTTTAGATCTGAGCAGCACATTGTTTGGCCTTCAAGATCCTTAATATAACCCATGTAATTGAACATGTGGAAGATGCCTACTGGAAAATCCACTATACGGAAAGAAAGCGGATATATGTAGCAATCTAGTTACTGACGTTGAAAATATTATTCAGGTATGTCTCACATTCAACATCTATGTATTTCCTCCTCTAATGATATTTTCTGATTCAAATGTACTTCGATTTGAATGTGATGTTTAGTTGCAGATCCAAGAAGCAGTGTTTGATACTTGCCACTCAATCAGAGAAAACCATCCAGTAAATACGGACCGCACGGAAGATCCGCAAAGAGAACTGACCAGGGTATACTTTACAGAATTCTGATCATTATATTCGTACGGAAGGCGATATATTGATCACCTTTCCAGATTCTCAAGCAGACAGATAGACAGATATTCAGCTTTATGTCTCTATGGAAACACGACAGGTACCCTTACGAGGGGAGAGTATCAACTCGGCGTTTATAAACCCTCTCTGCAAAGGAGGTAGACGCATGGTGGGTTAGGTATATACAGTGTTCTTCATTGCAGAGAAAATTGTTGTTTATCTGCCTGTCTCGTCTTCATTGAGATAGTTGATGAATCACAAAAATATATCGCGTTCCAGTTAATTTTCTGACCTAAAATGTACTTCGATTAATATGTGATGTTTAGTTGCAGATCCGAAAGGCAGTTTTTGATACTTGCCACTCAATCGGAGAAAACCACCCAGTCAAGACGAACCGAACAGAAGATCCGCAAAGAGACCTGACCAGAGTATACTTTACAGAATTCAGATCATTATATTCGTACGGAAGGCAATATATATTGATATCTTTTCCAGATTCTCAAGAAAACAGATATTCACCTTTATGTCTCTATGGAAACACGACAGGTACCCTCACGAGGGGAGAGTATCAACTCGGCGTTTATAAACCCTCTCTGCAAAGGAGGTAGACGCATGGTGGGTTAGGTATATACAGTGTTCTACATTGCAGAGAAAATTGTTGTTTATCTGCCTGTCTCGTCTTCATTGAGATAGTTGATGAATCACAAAAATATATCGCGTTCCAGTTACAAATGTTGAAAACAATATTCTATGTAAGTCTCACGCTTCAAATTTGAAATTGATTTTAGATCCGAGCAGCACATCGTTCGGCCTTCAAGGTCCTTAATATAACCCACGTACGTAATTGAAAATGTGGAAGATGCCTACTGGAAAAAGCACTATTCGGAAAGAAATCGGATATGTAGCAATTACGGACGTTGAATATATTATTCAGGTATGTCTCAGATTCAACATCCATGTAATTCATCTGATGATATTTATTTTCTGATATGAATGTACTTCGATTGATATGTGATGTTCTGTTGCAGATCCGAAAAGCAGTTTTTGATACTTGCCACTCAATCGGAGAAAACCACCGTCAAGACGAACCGAACAGAAGATCCGCAAAGAGAATTGAGGGAGAGAAACATCCATTTAATCAACGAATATCAAATTGTGATACATAGTTAAATAGAGAATTTTTAGGCTAATAGATGAGCTACAGAAATATATAGGATGCCATTTGGAAAAAAGTTGGGTTTACTTCCGATCAAACAGGCGGTCGGAGAAAATTGTCATTGGGTTCAAGGGAAGCGCCATCATCGATAATACAACTCTTGTGAATCTCACATTTTTATCTCTTCAAATAAAAAAACTACAGTCTGTTACATGTGTCACCAGGTATACTCAAAAGCACAAGGTGGGTATTGCGCATCTTTCAGTGCAGAATGCTTCAAAATCCAAGCTATCAAATAATAGGTTTCTTTAAATTACATTACTAGATCATCATATATTATCAGACAAAAAATCTGGTGAAGAAAAAATATTCTCCAGTCGAAAAATTATTAGGCACTTCAGGTACCTATACTTTATGTATAGAATTTCAATAAATAATAAATATTATCTGTTCAATTTTGAGTAGGTATTGATCTTCATACATGTTTCATTGATACAGAAAGATTATTTTATGTAAAATGATTCTTTTGAAGAAAATCGAGAAGAGGCAATACATCCCTCCTCTAATCCCCCTAATTGACGCCCATGGATCGGGTTAGATCACAAAATTTAACTAAATAAAAACATTTATTTCAAAAAAAAATACATCATCACACAATCATCAAAAACGCAATATTGCCAGTTTGTAAATAAAATATTATGTTGTATTGGAAGGGCCATGATTTTTTTCACAGGAAGAGAAAGTGAGGTGGGTTCCTTTGTGAATAAATTTTTGAAGATGAAGAAATTGTTCCATGGAGAACTTACATACTAGAACAGGAATATTCCAGAGCATGAGTAGATTAGGTACTACAATCTAGTGGTTCTCACTACCAAATTGTATTCATTCCGATTGACTTTCCAATATCATTCGAGAATTGCTGTTGTAAAATAACATCACATCTAAAACATTAAGAAACTCAAATTAGCAACAGTTAAAATAATTGACATACCAAGTGACAAGCCATAGTTTCCAGTTTCAATTAATTAATTAATCAATTAATTTTTCAATATTTTTTATTTTGAGATTCCAAACGGTGGCACCCTGTATATTATGACATATTTGGATCCTCATGAAAATGTTAGCGATGATACACAGTTTGGAAATGAAAGCAAACTTGATAAGCAAACATATCAATGTCATCGTAGTTGGGGAGATGCCAGTAAAAAAATCGCTTTTGAAAAAAATGTGGATCATGGAAGTTTTCAACTCAAATAATAGGAAAAAGTTGTCACCACATTTTTCAGTCATTATTAATCAGTTGGAATGCGTTCAATCCACTCTAAATGCAAAAATAATAGAAGAAAACATGTCTCTGTGATCTGACTCGGAACTGTCTTCAGAATCTCAGAATCGAAAATTGTGTAAATACACATGGTATTCCATTTAATATTTCACAGTAAGGATCGTTTCCGCTGAAGTGGTGGGGAAAATAAAATATTGAAAAAAATCAAATTCTCAGTTTCAATAACCCTACCAAATTTGAATTCCTGACAATCGGAACTCTGGTTACTATGCCTTGTTTGGAGAATATATTATCAACAATGAATTACCTTAGAGAGTTTCAATCTAGCAATGATTAATTGATTACTATCTGGTCAGGGCTATCTGAAAATAAGCAAGATAAATTATTTTAGAGATATTATGGCAGGATTTACAATTAGTACAGTCATATTGACAACAATCTTCTCAATTTTTGGAGCAAATAGTATCTCAGTTCACTTCCATACAATGAACTTAATATAAACACCTGGAAGGGATCCTCTGTGAACGACGAGTGAGGCAAAAATATTGTTCAGGCAACCCGCAGTGGTTACGGATACCTATCTCTTTCTATCTTATGTTGGCTAATGGAAAGCGCTCGCATTATTTGAAATATTTTCTTGTTTTTGCTTTTATTTAAGAGGATACATTTAGGAAAAATGATAATGTTGCAATCAATTATTATTTGAATATATTTATAAATCTTTTATTGACTCAAAAGAAATTATATATTCTCATTCAAATGCCACAATATATTGTACAAGAAGCTCCGAAGGCAAATTTGTAAAGACAATATTATGATGTAGCTGTTGAGTTTCAATATTCGAACATGTAGTTTTTACCTCCAAAATTCTTTTTAGTGCTTCATAAGATTGTCATTCTCCTTTCTACTTTTTGTTTGTGTTTTCACTTTCCTTTGCAATAGAATAGGCCTTCTAGAATGGAACAGTTTGTGGGTTTCATTATCGCAATAGACTTTGAAACTTACATGGGAGCTGGAAGATGTAAATCAATGTCCATATGAAAAACATTGTCCTTAGAATCCAAGTCATGAACATCCACAGACACATTCTGAGAATCTGAACAATTTTTAACTAACCCATGGAGGACAATTTCTGTTTGTCTTGCTTGTTTTGCATCCAAAGGCAACACAATATAAATAACCATTGTTTATTAATTCGAAATCAAAAATCTTTTCAACAATAATCAATTCACACCAACAAATTCAGTCCTTTTGAAGAAACAAAACACGCCAAATTTAGCGATATTTCACATAACGAAAAACAGAAAAGTTCTGTCTTCTCTTTTTTACCTGTTTAGATAAAGAAAAAAAATCTCAAGTACTCCAATCATTGAATAAAAGGAAATTTATACACCAATCCGCCATTAAACAAGACGAGTGTGAAAGAGACAGGTTACCGTAACACAAGCTATCTTTGTTGCAGCTGCCCCTGACACAGTCTGTGCTATTCGAGAAACCGGCAGTCTCCCTTCCAGTTGTTTACATTGAGTTCAATGGGGAAAGCATGTTGGAACCATGATCAACAATATTCATACCTATTTTGTCAGGAATTGAGTTATGAGTCCTTTGATGTTTGCTCAGATCTCGCTCAGATCGAAACTTCAGGACACAAATAGTACATTTGTATTTGAATGGAGCTGAACGTGTTACATTTTCAGATGTAGTGCCTTGGATCACTAAAAGAATAATAAACTGGGATTTAGTTTTGGAAACAGTCGAGAATACAGGGTTTCTATGAATAATAATAATAATAATAATAAATCGTCTTTATTCATCACAACAAGTTACAAGAATATCATATACAGTGTGTCCATTTAGTGTGTAATTCTTCGATATCGCGGAATCAATTATCACAAGAGAAAAACTTTGAAGAAAAAACTTTTTCAGTTACTGAAGTTGCTCATTTCGAAAATATTTCCAACGATACTGGGTGTTTCATAAAAGCGGGGCAACTCGAAGACGAGTTTTTTCAAATGGAACACCCAGTATTGTTCATTCGAAATTTATTCCGTTCAAGTTCAGCTCTACATCGCTGTAAAAAAAATTGAATTTGGTTGCGGCGTTGCCAAGTTATAATTGATAAACTCATTTTTACTACTATTGAAGGGTCATGTTCAATTGGGTATGGTATATTTATTTATTGAAATTTCGAAAATATTTTTGGCATACAGTAGTAGCAAGGTCTCACGTATACCAATCCAGTAATGTTGCGAGATAATCCTCTAGAGGGTGCTAAAATTTACATTCTGAATATTGTAAGATTCAGACGACGATCATAAGAAATTTTCAAATGGAACACCCTGTATTTTTCATCACGGATTTATTTCGACATCATTCGCCTTTTCATCGCAGAAGAAAAAATCGAAATCGGTTGCGGCGTTTTCAAGTTATAAGTAATTTCCTTATTTTTACTGCTATTTCGGGGTAATTTGTTCGTCCTGATGGTTCCTTAATTTGATTTGAGTGTGGGAATATTGCTTGCCACATGACATTCGAGGTTCTACATAGATCATTCAGGTATTTTTGTGATATGTGCATCGTCCAAATTTGAAATATTCCGTAATCTTGCTACTTATGATTCAAATACAAACAATGAAGATGCGTATTGCGAAAATGAGGAAATTTTTTTGAAATTTGGGCCATTTTTATTGTCGTTATTCCCACAATCCAAATCTCCATTTACCTTGAAGAAGGTAAACATAATGATACAAACAATATGTCTTTACTACGCAGCTTTTGGGAGAAAATTCAGCAAAATGTCGAATCAATCCAAGATATATTTGATTGTAGCGATGTTTGACAGGTTATTACACAAATATTTCGAACAAAATTTAAACTTGGAGAGCCTGTAAATGTTCCTTTTGTAAAAAAATATATGAATGGTCAATGAACAAATTTTGATTTTACCGTAGCAACGCAATATTTCCACAATACATATAAATGAAAGAACTATATGACGTACAAATTACCCCGAAATAGTAGTGAAAATAAGGAAATCAATCATAACTTGACAACGCCGCAACCGATTCCGATTTGTTTTCCAGCGATAAAAATGCGAAAGATGTCGAAATGAATTTTTGAATAAAAATACAGGGTGTTCCATTTGAAAAATTCTGATGAATGTCATCTGAATCTTGCAAAATTCTAAATGAAAAATTGAGCACCCTGTTGAAGAACATGTCGCAAAATTACTGGATTGGTAAACGTTGGACCTTGCTCCTACCGTATGCCAAAAATATTTTCAAAATCTGAATAAATGAATATACCATGCCCAATTCAACATGACTGTTCAATAATGGTAAAAATAGATATATCAATTATAACTTGGCAACGCCGCAACCGATTCCAATTTTTTTTACAGCGATGTGAAGGTGAACCTCGACGGAATTAATTCCGAATGAACAATACTGGGTGTTCCATTTAAAAAAACTTTTCTTCGAGTTGCCTTGCTTTTATAAAACACCCAGTGATGTTGAAAATAATTTTGAAATGAGCAACTTTAGTAACTGAAAAAGTTTTTTCTCCAAAGTTTTCCTCTATAGGTTATGGCTTTCGAGATATCGAAGAATTACGCACTAAATGGACACACTGTATAGTATAACATATTAGTGATGAAAAGGTGAAGTGTCAGCGAGTGCTGTTTTTAAACTTTACCAGGAAATGAAAAAATACAAAAACAAAATAAAGTTCTAACATAACTCATTCATTATGCCTAAGGGTGAAGCCAAGACAAATAATATAATATATTCAAATTTAAATTGTGAAACTTCACTTGATAAAGATTTAACAATGTGTCGTAAACTCTGAGAGATAAACAAAAGTAGGTAGGTAAGAGAAAGTGATAATATATATAATGTAATATAATATAATAATAACAATGCGAAGTACAATCGGAAATCAAAAATCATCATATGTTCAGCAATTCCGGAAACAAACGCGCAAGTAACATTTCAATAATTGTCGGACCAATGATTGAAGTAAGCCTCTTTCAATTTTTTTTTGAAGTTGGTCAAGGTATAATGGCGGAAACTAGCATCTAAATTATTATATAATTTACAGGCACAATACGAGAAGCTACGTGTGAAGTATGCCGTGGAATGCTTGGGTATTAAGAAGAGGTCTCTTTTCCTGGTAGTGACTCTATTACTTTCCATTAGTTCTAGTTTTTGGACCAGATAAGGGGGGGGTTTTCGTTCTTAATATTTTGTGTATTAAGCAAAGAGAGTGCAAGTCGCGGCTTTTGTTGAGTGGGAGCCAACCAATTTCTTGGGTTTGTCTACTAACCCTATCAAATCTTCTTAAACCTGTGCAGAAGCGTACGCAAGTGTTCTGTATCAGTTGGAGTTTTCTTACGTCGGAAGCAAGTAAGGCGGGACCATAGACCGAATCGCAATACGCTAATTTAGAGAATATTAGAGATTCACATAGTTTGATTTTAATTAATCGTAGCATCTTAGTGGCCGTTGAAATAGTGCCGCTCTCTGCTTAACTTGTTTACAGGTATTGAAACATCAGAATATGTTATAGTTCGATGTTTATGAGTGAAAAGCGGCAAATCAATTAAATATTTCACTACGATGCTATGGTAATTTATAGAGGCCATGTAAAGGGTTTCACAATAAATGCCCCCCCCCCTTCTAGCTCACTTATTTTTCAACCGATTTCAAAATTTTAAAAATCATCTGAAATTATTGTTCAGATTTTTTACCCACTACATCAGAAAAGATTCTCCCTGATTTCATCAATACATAACATTTGGGGTCTATCGCGAATGATTACAGAGATGTAGGGTGTTCAAAATCAATATTTTTCAACTTTTTGGATTTTTGTGTCTGAAAAATGACATAGTTCCGTGTGAAAAAGAATATTGCTGTGATTGGTTGGGTTTCTGAATTTTAAATCAATCAAAAACCATCACGTCCGTATCTTGAAACATGAAAGTTATTGCCTAAGGCTGTGACACAATTGAAGTTTTATGCAATAAGTTTCAAGGTTCAGGATTTAAGATACTTGTGACGAAAATGAAAGCAGGATGCTAAACAGAATTAAAATATAAAAGCTGCAATTCCACCAATAAGGTTGTTTGAGAGGCGTGGCAGAAACCAGAATATTTTTCACTTTGCGGTATTTTCTCGGGACATTCATTAATTTCAGAGTATTCTTTTCGGTTATTATGTTGGTATAATCGAAGTTATTATAAAATGTGCATAGTTTTTTTACTTCTCAATTGTAAATCATATAATCGCCACATGGACCTGTGTGTTTATTTTATAATTCCTATATATTAAATTATAAAATTCAACACTAATAACATAAAACTTCAATTGTGTCACAGCCTTGACACTACTGACACTATTGAAAGAATTGACATTTCAGTATTGACGTACCGCAGATGCACCAACATGATTTTCGACCAGTCAGATGTGAAGTTCACAAAAACTGAACATATTGTTATAGTTTTTTATGTAATGATAGGCAAATCATTTTTTCCTTTCCCATTTTATGATTTGTTAGTCTAAATAATATAAAAGCATCAATTAATTCATCATGATGAGGAAAATATCAAGACATTAGGACATATAGGACACCAACACACAAAGTCAACTATTCTCTAGCCAGGTCAACACGCGATCTTTATCCCATTATTCAGTATACAATTTTGTTTTCCATTGGGAATATACATGTGGGAAGGAGGGATAAGAGCTATATATTTTCCAATATACAAGGTATACAAGCATTAGCTTGCCTGGATACATCAATATCCTTGCCACCTGCTTCCAGAAGAAGAAATTATATAAATCAATGTAAGTTCGTTTTAATTGTATAAATTCAGTCTCCTGAAGAGGCTACAGTCTTAGCAAAGCATAAATCATGTTTTTAAGCATTTTGCAGACATTACAGTTGGTGCAGTTTTTTCAGGTACTACGGTCGAGTCAATGATGCAAAAGAAATACTTACTTTTATCTGTTTTATCGCAATTTTTTGAGGGACTCTCGTGTTTTTTGGAAGGAACTAACACATGTCCCATGGCAATGTGTTCACGTAAATGACTTTTGTATTCTCCGAGATTTTGGAATGCATCATCGCATATTTTACAAAAATGCATCGGTTCATTTGCATGACGTGTCCTGAAACGATGAAGTTGTTTCCTCTGGTTTCACTTTGCATTATACCAGGTGTTTCCCAAAATTGGCTCGCCCCTGTAACTTTTTTGTTCCTACAGATAAACAAATGAAATTCAGCCTGTTGGTACTGTTGGTTGAGTACAGGGTGACTGTTTATTTTTCCACATTTATAAGTGAAAATTTGATACACAACTTTGGAACATGATAATCGCAGAAAAATGTGTCCTCCGCCAAATTGAAATCGGCCTGTTCCAGCAATTTTCAATTTTCTTAACGATATCGGATATTTGGAGGCTGACAAATTTTAGCTGGGAAACATGATAATTACGATTTGTTGATACAAAATTAACTGTTTTAACTCATACATTGCACTCCAAATTGAATACTAAAAATTTCAGGATGTTGAATGTCAAAAAGTGACAAATGGGGAGTACTCACAATGTGACTTCCTATGGAAAAAAGTGAAAATATACCAGATGTCCCATTAAAAACAAGGGAATAAGAATTTCCGGTCAAACCTGAAGTGACAGAAAACAACTGGATATGTCTAAAAATGCATATTTATTTACTATACTTACAAACCGAATTTCATTTGTATATCTGTAGAAACAAAAAAGGTATAGTGGTGTGCCTTCTGAGAATGTCATTATAGAAAAAAATAATATAGAAAAATTATCTTACCGATAATGACTAGGCATATTGAAGTTCCAAACCATTGTGGAACAAAACTTGCACGAGGATTTTACTTTTTCGTGGGACATCATTTGGTGGTACCTCAGAACCTTGAATTTTCCATAAGATTTAGGGCACTGGTCGCAAAAGAACAGCTTTTCTGGAGAGCCATGCAACTTGATATGGGAAACGTATCTCGATTCACCTTGAATCATCCGATCTTGGAAAAATAATACTTTGGATTAAAATATTGCCAAACAAGCGGATTTACCATGACAAGATGATCAGAAAATGTATTAGCAAAAAAATATGAAATTTTTTATTTGTAAAATTTGTATATCGCTACTTCAAAGTTGGACACCAACTCCCCAGAAGTCGAAACTTGTGCGGGGTTTGGAAGAGCGGGACCTACAGCTTATAGTGTAGTCCGAACCACTTTTAGGACATTAAGGTGTTGCCAGGATTACAACAATGAATCACACATTTTAAAGAAAAATGCTCAGCCGATAGCCGGATTCGAACCGACAGTACCTCTGCATCGTGAACGGCTATCTAGCGAATTTCAGCGCATAGACAAACTCGGCCACGGATAAAGAATGAAGACTATCATGTACTTGTCCCAATTTTTCGTATTTTTCTAAACATTGGGTATTGAGTAAAAGCCTTAGAGACTCCCAATGTTTTTCAAGTATGAGGTATATTTTTTTCTTGAAATTTGTTGAAATGTTCCTCTGAGGGAGAGACATTCACTAGCCTTTGTAGTACACATATACTAAAATTTTATATTATTAGCAAATGTCTAATCTCTATCTGAGAAACATTTTCAATAAAGAACTCAATATCGTGTAAAAGGTTGCAGTCAACAACGGAATAACGTTGATTTGATTGAAAATTTACTAAATGTAGTTTCAACCAATTAGAAGGCTCCTTTTTGATTACGTTGCATATAGCAATGGGATATTATCGCGATAATTTTGTTACTTCTTATTAACTAAATAGAATTAATGTGATAATTTTTCTGTCAAAAATGAAGCAACATATCTATTCGCGGGAATCAATGTTACCAGGTGGCGCTCGGTTTTCATCGTTCCATGTCAAAGCCACGTCAAAACTGGGGGAAAACAAACTCAATCCTCACTCAATTGACTCAATCTCATCAGTGCCTTCAGCTTGTGTACTGTGTACTGATAAGAGTGATGTTTTTAAATTTCTTGACATTAATTATCAATATTCGATCGAAAACGCTAATAATGCCTGTTGTAGATGTTCTTTTGGCAGATATTTTGCTCTATTTAGATGGAAAAAGCCGACCAGTAGTGAAAGGAGAAGCAGTTCTCCGTGCTAATCATGTGATTTTGTGTGAGGCAGAAGACTTCAACAAAAGGCACATTTTTGCACTTTGTCTACAAATTTCGGCGATGAAATCTTCCACACATGAAGTAAAATTGAAGTTGGGGTCCAGATGAACTCCTGTAGAACAATGAATTTGTATTTGTTCATGCAAAGCAGGACAATCTGGGTATTGTAAACATGTTGTAGCTGTTCTTTTATATGTCAATTGATTTGCTCGTCATAATTAGTTTGAATTGTTTGAACTATCTCCAATTTTTCACCCGTTCACTGTTCACTAAGCTAATAAAAATGTAATAATGTAAAAAAATTAACCAACTCAACCATCATCACTACCAACAGTGCCAACACTTTATGTCATTGACAAGTTTGACTACAGCTACAGCAAGCTGAATGCAATGTAGTCTATGCACTTACTCCATAGACAACAGTTTGTTTTCCCCCAGTTTGAAGTTCGTATTATGTAACCTAGATGTCATCCACTTCGTGAATCTCGCGAATTGGCAAAAGTAACTCAGTTTCATTTAAAACTATGTAGACATGTGAAATCAGATGTTATGGTTGAAACTCGTGTTGAAACGAATATATGTTTTTAATGTTCCTGAAATTTGAGAAATGAACCTTAGTTACTAACATGTAAAATGAACTTCTATTGTAAAAATATAGTGCGCCATCTTCAACTAAGCTCATCCGAAATATGTTTTTTTAAGTTTCATTCTTTTGAAACTATGTAGACATGTTATATCAGATGTTACGGTTGAAAACGAATTAATGTTTTTAATGTCCTTGCAATTTTAGTGATAAACCTTAGTACCTAAAAAGTGAAATCAACTTCTATGTAAAAATATAGTTCGTAATCTTCAACTAAAATTATCGGAAAGAAAACTATAAAGACATTGGATTTCAGATAACCAATTTTTTATGTAATGTTTCTCACATCTACGCAGAATAGGTCGTAGGGTTCATCTTCTCATCATATTCAAAACAACTCCAATACATGAAATTTTCTTACCGAATCTCCCACGCAGTAGAATTATTCCCATTAGTTTTTTCCCGGTTTCACAATGTTTTTGTTGATAGAATATTTCCCTCGTCTAAAATTCGTGACGACGTTGAAAAAAATTATCGGTAATAATTCCACTGCTAGGGAGATTATAAGTGATGATTAACAATTTAAGAAACTTCGTGAAAAAGCAATTCAAAAAGTTCATCCTCCCATCAGAAACAATAATCGGAATAATAGAACTTCAACCTATTTCAAATCAACAACAGCAAAATTTGCCTCAATTCTATATAAACAAGATTTGAGAGGTGTTTATAGAACCACACGAACACGTTGGAAAGGTTTATAGAAAATAATTTTATTTCAATCCAGAGTATACAAACTGAACTGTGAATTTCGTATTGAGATATTATATTGGACAGACAGGTAGAATGTGTTACTACCGCATTCACGAACATCATATGAGTTTTTTAAAAAGAAAACAAATTCGAAATTTCACACGCTATGATCGTTTTCAAGTTATATATAAAGACCTTTTTTTTCGCTAGTCAAAAATCTCGGAAACGGCCTAACGTTTTGTGATCTTTTTATAGTGTTGTCAATTTTTTCAGAATGTCAAATCACCTAGTTACGTGGGTAAAAAGAAAAAGTGATAACACCACTAGAAGATGATCAAAATAACCAAAAAAATCATGTTTTTCACTCACCACATTTGTAACAATTGTATAATACTTTTTCCGGATCGGTTTCACCCTGCTCATAATCGAAATCACCTAATGAGTAGTTTATAGATTCTTTTCCTTGACAAGATTTATCTCTTTGTTTTTTGATATGATCACAAACTTGATGTTCCGTAAACCTATAAAAGAGGCAAAAAAATACATTATCGACATTCTTCATAAGCGAGTAGACTCTTTTTATTTTTTAAATACCTTTCAATTTCATATTTTCTGGGAATTTTTCGGTCGATTTTTAGGTGCTACAATCATCAATAATGCCACGGAATTTTTAAACTGCTTGAAGTTTACCGCAATTAAAAACTGACGCCACGATTTCCCAAGTAGGGGCAGACCGTAGCGCAGTTGCCATGTTTTGAAATAAGATTGCGTACTTCAGAAATATTAGTTTTCATAATTCATGAATTCTCAATTGAGTATTGGTAATATTCCTAATAAGCAATAAAAATTCAATTGTCTCAAAATGTTCCCTTATGATTTGTGGCTTATTGCTTATAATGAATTCGTGTAAATTATTTATTCACACTAGACATTTGAATCGGTGAACGTGACAACCCCGCACACGACTTGTGGGCGTGGTCTTGTCAGTTCTCAGCATTCAGAACAATGTTTTCAAGTCTCCAACATTTACATGATATTTTGTTATGGAGAATAAGAAATATTTGGACATGCTGTTTTGTCATTGAATGAAATATTTAGGTTTATTTTTAAATGCCGCTGGCAGAACTGACCTACCCAACTGTAGAAAGAACCGTTAATCCTGGTTAATCATAAAGCACAGCTTGAAAAAAAATTGTGCGTTTCGAAAGATATTATTCTCAAAGGTAACAACTTGAAAAATCTCTTCTGGATATCAAGAAATGTAGATGATTTAGAATTCAAAAAATATTATGATGACTCGAAAAAACAATACAGAAGAAAGATACATGACGCAAAGTATGCATTTAATCAGGGTGCTCTTGCAAACATGAGCCAACAACAGAAGCAGAAAAAAATTTTGAACATAGTAACAAATAAGACAGGAAGAGGGAAACAAAATATAAATCGACAACTATTACTGGACAACAAACTTAAAAATGATCAAAATGAAATTGTCGATGCTTTCGGTTCATATTTTTCTACCATAGCGAAGAACACAATCAATGCACACTTTGAATCAACATCATTCAATGACTACACCACTATGCATGTAGATCATACTTTTTATTTCACTCCAGTTCATTCAAGTGATATTTTCGAAATAATTTCTGACCTAAAGAACATAGACTCTGTTGGAGTCGATTGCATTTCAACTAAAATAATGAAGAACATCAGAAATTCAATTTGCGAACCATTAGCATTTTTGATAAATCTTTCAGTTGAAACTGGGGAATTTCTAGACAAACTTAAAATTGGGTCAGTAATACCGATATTAAAAAAAGGTGACTCAACGTCTATTGAAAATTATCGGCCTGTAACAGTTCCAACAGTATTATGTAAAATAATCGAAAGATCCGTTTATGTAAAGAAGAAGAATTCCATATAATAACCAAATTCCAGCATGGGTTCTGCCCAGATAGGTCAACGGAAAGTGCATTTCAAAGTTTTTCCAAATGCGTCTATAATTCACTTGACAAAAGGAAATATGTCGGTGCACTTTTCTTCGACCTATCGAAAGCATTTTTGATATTATTGACTCCGATATTATATGCAAAAAAACTGTATTCACTTGGCTTCAGGAGTATCTTCCTTTCATGGCTTAGATCTTACCTGACTCATAGAAAGATACACGTTAAAGTCGACAATTATCAGTCGAAGCAGTATGACATTGATCTTGGGGTTCCTCAAGGTTCTATATCAGGTCCACTCATTTTTCTACTATTCATCAATGACATGCCCAATCATATAAGCTCAGAATATGTAGTTTTGTATGCAGATGATACAACGATTGCAGCGATTGCAGATAACCCAGAGGAGCTCCAAGAAAAATTAAATACCTTGAGCTTTGAGTTCACGAATTCGTGTAGTAAAAACTCTTTAGTGGTGAATGTAGAGAAAACTGTTCTGATGCAGTCTTATTCCAGAACTAATAGAAAAATTGATAATCTTCATGTTAAAGTGGGTGATGCAATAATTAAACTATCAGACAACACCAAATTACTAGGTACTTTTATCGATGGTAACATGACATGGGAGTCGGGTATAAATCATGTCAGTGAGAAAGTGAACAGTGGGTACTATGCTATTAGACAATTGAGGTCCAATTTCAATAAGGCTCAACTTCTAAATGTTTTCTTTGCTGTTGTATATTCCCATATTTCTTATAATATTGCCATTTGGGGATGTTCGTCAAAACTCAGCAAAATATTCTTCTCATAGAGAAGGGTCATATGGCTAATATATAGAATATACTACAGAGCATTTGGTAGGCAACACTTTATTGATAATAAATTCTTTTGTGTACCTTGCATTTATACAAATGTATTTTATTATTCAGGAAACAAATGCAGAATTATGATCGAAACTGTGACTTTCATACGTATTCTACCAGACACGGTGAATTGATAAGACTTTAGAAACATTCAACTCGTCTGTATGAAAATTGTCCATCTTATAAGGGACCAAAATTCGATAATCCCTTATCTGACGAAATAAAAAATGTACACAGACGAGAAAAACATTTCAAAATTAAACTCAAAGAATTTCTGATTAACGGTTGTTTTTATATAATCGACGAATATTTCAATCGATGAAATGCATTTCATATATCTCCATATGCTTTATGGTACTAGGAAAGGTTACAGACTGAATATTCTGTGTACTACGTGGTTCTGTTATATTTTCATGTATCTGTATATAAATTGTGTGTGAATTTCTTGTTGTCTGACGTATTCTATGTCATTTTTTATGATCTTGAAGGATTCAATAATTTTTTTTATTTTTATTTATTTTTAATCAATATGGGGATAATCAAAACAGCCTGGCAGATTCAAAAACTACCCCAAGAAAATAACCAATTATAAGAAAAAGTTGCCCGTTCAATATTATTCATTATTTGGAAGTTATAATCTTACGAATCTGATCGAAAATTTCAGGTGGCCCACTACAATTACGGGACACTGTATTTTGTTTTCAATAGGTTTCGTTATTCGGAGATAATATTCAATATTTCATGCATTAATTAAACAAGAACAATGTTTCTCAGTTTTACCTTTTGTCGCAGACTGAACAGTAAAAAAAATGCGTCATCCAATGCTGTTCCAACTCTTTGAGCTTTTCAAAATGGACCAGGCACACTTGACAGTAATATCCACCTTCACGTTCAATATTATGAATTTTTCTTTCGTGATCTTCCAACATGTACTTTGTCCTGTAGTACTTCCAGCACAAAGAACACTTGAACATCTCCTTATATGGGTAAACGCTATATGAATTTTGTATAACAGGAGTAGACATTGACTGGTTGTTTTCTGTATCTTCACTGCCAGAAATATCCACTGTCCCTTGGAACGTCTTCTGGCATGGATTAACCGCATTTGAATTTTGCAGACCAGGAGTAGAAACTGATTTTTCATTGCCAGAAGTAGCTACTGTATTTTCGAATATTTTCGAATCAGCTGCTTCTTCGTCAACTTGTATGTTTTGCACCTCAACAAATTCTATTTCACTAGGTAGCTGCCTGCCCATCAATGTATTCTCCACTGACAGACAGTCCTCTATGAAATTGAAGCATTGTCGAAGTTTCTTCAAACATGGGTTGCAAATTATATCTCTATCGGCGAGAGTGGATGCCTTAAAATTTAACAGGAATGTGTTCATTTGGAACGAAATTTGTAGGGCTCTTTCATTAATGATGAATAATATGTGATATTGAACTCTCTTCCAAAACGGAGCACCTTGTATACCATTACATAATTGGCTAAGGATTAGCATGACCAAGAAAATCATATTACATTATCATAAGAAATGTTGCAAGCTGTAACTAACGAATAACTGGCATAATAGTATATTATTCAACAAGCATATAATGAGGGCTATTATTTAGTTTTTTAAATACACCCATATTCTTCTTGTTCAAACAAATCGACTGAATTTCCCTCTTCGGTTCCTAATACTGAAATTTTGAACGTAATGACATTTGGGGGCAAATCATCTGAAATTATTCAAATATTTTAATAGAGACGAGGATAGAAATTCTCAAAAAATCTAGGAAAACAACGGTAAAAGGGAATTATCAAATGAAACTACTAAGAACTAAACATGCATTTCAGTAATTAAAAAATATACAGGGTATCCTATTCGAAATTATTGCGCTGTTGCCAATTTGAACGACAGTTAGCAACTCTGAACTTTTCAAGAGTGTTTCAGAAATGAAAAAAATTATTAACTTACTTTGAAAACCAAAATTTTTCAATGATCTTTCCTTGAGATTTCCAGTTAGGTCTGATGGACCACTCAGCGTGGGTTACCCTGTATATTAGAAAAAAATCTACAAAGTGAATATACAAATTATTGTTCTCACCAATTGAGGTATGCAAAATGATATCATTTCTTTAATAGTCATTTTCGGATGACACTTTTCGTACAACGGAGCCCCCCTAACTGTTCCCACCATCACTAAACAAGTCCTGCACTCCACAGACTCGTTTTTCAAATCCACTCTGATATGTTTAGATAACCGATTTCTCAATTTTTTATTAAGATGTGGTCTTCTTGCAGGTAGAGCTGGGAAACATTCACCAGGTGTTGTCAGATCTATGGAGGAATCATGGTTGACGTTTGCCGACAAACTGTCCATATGTCCATGATTCTTGTCAGAACTGTTTGTTTCTTCATCATCCGATATGTTGATGGAGCTGCACTCCATTTCCTCTGATGGATAATCAGTTGGTTCTTCAGGTAAAAATTCTATCGTGCCGAATTGGGGAGAATAAGAGTTGCTGGTTTCATCGTTACCATCACAGTTGACAAATGGTGGAGAAACTGAAGAAAAATAGGTAAAGAGTGAAATGCAAACCTGAAAAACACTGCAGCCGAGATCGAAGAGTAGTAATAGAGAAGGAGCTGAGCAGACCCCTCGGAAAATGATAAGAGGAGTTCCCCAAGGATAGGTGCTGGGCCCTCTCTTCTTTCAAATCTATGTCAACGATTTAGTCTTGTATGAAGATGATGCCACTTTTGGAAGAGGCCAACCGCTACTTAGATTGGACATAGCATGGAACTTGACATGGGCATAACAAAATATTTTGGAATTACCAAGAATAAGACTTACCTACGTAACAAAAAGAAAATCTTATAGAATCTAATTGAATACAGGGTGTCTCCTTATATTTTGACTCCTACATACAGCTTCAACTATACGAGGTGGAAAATAACTTCAGATATGAAAGTTGTAGGGTTTCATCTGTACTATCTTTTGGCTCTTCTCAAATAAACAGATGAGAATCGCAAAATGGAAAAGAGTCCAATTCAGGGTTTTCAGATAGAACACCCTGAATATTTTCAACTGTTGTGAAATATCTTTTCCTTCTGTTCAAAAATATATATAGTTTCATAATGTTCGTTCCCATAAGCCGTTTTCGACAAAAATCTTGTCGCACTACTCAAGTTCTTGAAATAATTTCATAATATTACACAGCTAGTGTTTTCGCGATAATACAAGGTTTCTTTGGCTTGTCATTGGTCAGATTATGTGAGAATTTCAAGATGAGTGAAATAGTCAACAATAGTCAATTCCTCATGTTCAAGAAAAAATACAATTCCAGTTTAATGAAGGTGAGACTGCTATAGGAGTTATCTGTGGCATTTGTGTTGACCACTGTATACTCCTGCAAAAATTGTAAATCTAGAGCGGTATTCCTCAGGTATCTGTGCTAGAACCAATACTGTCATTTTTGTACATTAATACATATGATGTCTTGGTATTCCAGGTATCTTAACAGTATTTGCAGATGATGCAATACTCTGGCAAGGTAAAGATAGAGATACTGGTGTGATTCCAAATGACTTCACTTCAATACAAATGCCGGACAACATATCAACATTTACTTTCGAGAATTTGGTCTTGAAAATCATTATCTTGCCTTCGCTTCTTGACATCAACATCAACATACCTAATGTAAAAACTTCAGAAACGATAAGATTTCCACAAAACACACGACATGTTTCGCTAACACAGTAGCTTCGTCAGGTGATATACTGGTATGATGAACTTAACTAATCTTGGCTTGCTTATATATCCTACTTTTCCAACCTGAAGGATCAGTTACCTGTGGATAGGTTCCATAATTACCTGGTACTTCCATTTCGATTTTGATTGGATCAATCAGTGGTTCTTCCTTCACTGTAATCTCTTCCGGTATGTTAGTGTCTAATTCTAAAATATCTTTTTCTGGAAAAATTGTTGGCACAGCTTTTGGAAGCAGTCTACATCTTTGTGCTGTTTGGAACATAGCATCTTCAAAGTGATCTTCACATATGAAATAGGTGCTATAAGTCTGACACACCAGATCTATATTTCTTAGCAAATCATCACGTCGACACGCTATGATCCATTTTTTCGCACTAAAAAAATTAAAATATGTATGGAAAAATGGAATTTTTGTATTTTGTGCGAAATAATGTGTTCAAAAATATGGTTCCTAGTAGAGCGCTTTTATCAGTGTCATCATCAGTAGATACCTTCGACTAAGTAACCAACTTCCAGCTATGGAAAATAAAAAAGTGAAAATAATTTGGGTGTTTCATTATTAATTTGAAGAATTTAAAGGTAGATGTTTTTGATGACTTTACTGACTTATACATTATTATTATTTCCCTCAATACACACAGATGAACGGCACTTCATGGTGAGCTGATGAAGAAACAGTTGGTAAGTATACAGGGTTATCCAAATTGAGTGTCCACCATTGGTAGGTAACTTTGTTTCATCATAAAAGATAAAAAACAATTGACCATTCGAGTTTGAACAAACAATATTTTTTTATGAAACACCTATTCATTATATTTTTGTGTTGAAACTTTAGTATAAGATAATGATAGTTTGGCGAGCTAAACAATTTTGTATCTTTGATAACAAAGTTACCAAAGGCTGCAGACGCTTGATTCGAAGAAATCTGTATAGTTATTATATTATTCAATAAGTGTGTTATGGTTAAGGTATTTAAAGTATGTACAAAATTTCAAATAATCATAATATTGATTTACGAAAAACTATTTAATATAGGAATCTTGACTCACCATTCCTGTCTCATTGGAAATTTAAAGAATCGCTTGATCATTGAATTTTTAATGGAATTTGGACAGTTTAAGGCTGCACATGATTTTTCAGGCATATTTTGTGATATCCAGTACTGAACTCTTAAATTAAACCTGAAACCGATTCCACTACCCTGAAAATAAAGGAAATTGCATTATAGGCTTGAATTCAATGATCAAACTGGAGTGGAATATTGTTCTTCCTATTTCAAAATATAAAATCAATGGTTCACAAAACAATACAAACTGGTGGAACATTATTTTTAACATCATCCGCACATCAACCACACAGCAACCCATATCTGCCATATCTAGCAAATAGCACTGAAACGCAGTTCACTAAGAATTCCATTGGTAAAACTGGCTCGCACTGAGTGCATATTTTGTAAAACTGGTGTCGAGTTCTGAATTCCATTGGAAAACTGGTTCACATAGTTTACGCACGAACGCACGAGCTCTAGGAGGTCGTGCGAAGTCAGTGCAGTTTTGAAAATGGCGGAAACATTGAATATGCATGGTTTAAAAATCGAAATTGCGTGGCAATCTAATCGTCATCATCAAGTAGTGATGAAAATTTGGAGGTTTCAAGAAAATAAAGGAGACTACTCCCCATAATTCAATGATGAAGAGGTTTTTATTGAAAAAAAAAACTCCTCAGAATTATTTCCATGAAACACATCTACTTTGTTTTCAATTGAAGTCAAGAAAGAATTTCAGGATACGAACAAGTTATAAACAATGACAAACCAATTTATCCGATTTAACCTCCAACAATGAAATTTTATTATATTATTTCGTATTCCATTGGGAATGCACCAGTTCACATTTTGGAGAGAACCAACGTTAGTGCGGGTGTAAAACTGGTGCAAAACCAGTGCACCACTAGGTTTACGAATGGAATTCGCTATACAGGGTGTTTCAGTTTTTTGTAGCAGGACTTCAACAGCTTGAAGAAGACATTTTTTCCAGATGAAAATCTCAAATAAACATATATGCGTGGGAGCTTCGTCTCCGATTTACAGGGTGTCAAAGTTTCAGATTTTTTTATGTTTTTTGAATTTTCTCCTACAATTTTTGGAATATTTGATTGAAATTTGGTACAGCTGATAAACTTCAAAAACTCAATATTTGAGGCTATTGAGCGTTTTTGAATACCTACAGGGTGATAGACTTTCAGGGGTCGTACCCAATTTAACCCTGTAGAACTTTTTTGCGTGCCGCCTCTGCTTTCAATGGGACATAGATTCAGTTTGTCTCTGCAATTTGGAAACTTTTTGCCCCCATGTATGTTTCTCGAAAACTGTATGGATTTAGACATGATAACCACTTCTAAGGGTACTGATAAAATTAGAACTGCCGTTCACGAGATTAAATTACACCTCAACCGTCAGAAGTGACAGTCTAGAGATAAGGATGGACTTCTAGCGATGTATAGCGCCTAGACCGTGTGTCATACAGTCCCTGATATCGAAAGTTTAACCAGTTTCAGATATACAGGGTGTCCTAGAATTTTCTACAATACAATTTCAGATTTTGCAATCCAGTTAGAAACGTTTTTTTGAAATAAAAACATTTTTTCTTTGTTTGTCCTAGTTTCAATTATAATGGTGTTCAAAAAATTCAAAATAATTTTGCAACTGAATTTCATTTGGTATGGAAGCTTTCGGTCATTCTATTTTCTAATAAAATGTTTGAGAAATGTCAAATAAGTGTGTTTGAGAAATAACGGTTTTATTACAAGTAATTTATTTTTGGCATTTATCTCGAGATCCATACAGTTTTCGAAAAATTTACATGGAGGCAAAAAGTTTCCAAATTGAAAGGACAATCTGAATCTATGTCCCATTGAAAGCAGGGACGGTACGCAAAAAAGTTCTACAGGGTGAAATTGGGTACGACCCCTGAAAGTCTATCACCCTGTAGGTATTCAAAAACGCTCAATAGCCTCAAATATTGAGTTTTCGAAGTGTATCAGGTGTACCAAATTTCAATCAATTATTCCGAAAATTGTAGGAGAAAATACAAAAAACATAAAAAAATCTGAAGCTTTGACACCCTGTAAATCGGAAACGAAGCTTCCACGCATATATGTTCGTATGAGATTTTCATCTTAAAAAAATGTCTTCTTCAAGCTGTTGAAGTCCTGCTACAAAAAACTGAAACACCCTGTATATAATAACTTGACATGTATCAATAAGAATTTTGTTGCCTGGCAATTTGACGAAAAAAACTGCCTCTGAAAAGATTACGAGTCCGTAAGACGAGTAATTTTTTCTTGCAGTTTTTTGAGTTGAATTACCTAATGGCAACAAAATTCGAATTATAAATGCCAAGTTCACTTCGACTAAAAAGAAAAGCTAGAGTGTAATTCGGTGAGACAATTTAATTCATCAAACATTTGTTTATGGCTGGTTGTCATGCTTTCAAAAGTTAGGTTCCGTTATTGTCGCTGGAAAAGTTAGGGCAAACTCTTTTCGCTGACATTATGACAAAATCACACGACTTGTGGGATTTTTCATACATAAATTTAATTGTCACAATAATAATAGTTATTTATTATACATGGGAAAAAAGTAGTAGATTTAATAATTGAGATATCAGGGTGTATTCATGAAAAGCGGGACACACGGTATATAAAGAAATACATTGAGAATTCGCATTCTCTATGTGATGAAAATATCAATTCTTTCTCAGTTTTCTCAACAGAAAACAACTACTTTCCTGGCTATATGCTCGGCTATATGCCACGACGAACATTGAATTATATCTATTGAACACACATGATGAGAATTTGAAAACAAAATCTTCTGAAGTTGAGATTTGAAGTTGCATTCTCCTTCAGATAACAATATGGATATGCACCTAATATTCTGAATATTCTACTGAAAACAACTACTTCCCTGGCTATTTGCCACGTCGAACATTGAATTATATAAGATTTTTTTTCCACGTCCTGTATGATGAATATTAATTTGTCTTGCATCCAAAAATGTTATAATCTGTTTGAGTTTTTTCTCTTCCGCATATACAGTGTATTTTCTGATAATTGGTAAAATATTGGTGAGGTTAGGTATTCCTGAAGTGTTTCTGTGAAAAAAAATCTTATAAACTTTTGTCAAAAAATGCTTCCTTAAATAGTAGGTACACCCTGGAGACGGTTTTTCCTCAATATTCCCGAAACCTTTCATTAAAAAATCAGAAAATTAGGCAGATCGCATTATATTCTAATGCTGAATCAGAAGTAGATCTCAGAATTTCAAAATCTTATTCAGGGACGTGTGCTCACATGAATGTGGCAACACTGGGAGACTGTCAACTGTAATATCGATGTCAATGTCATGTATATCAGGATTCATGATCATGTTAGATGGTAAAGAATAAAGTATAAAAAGTCGTCTAATAAACTATATTATAATATAGTATAAACATATACTATATGACAGTAGGTAACATACTGGATGGGTTAAGGGTAAAAAGAATTAATTTTTCAATGGTATTTTTTTTCACATGCTCATTTCAGAATGTGATACCTGAAGGTTTTTCACGTGAAAACGGTACTCCTAATTCAAATCGATTGTTTTTGAAAAAATCCTGAAAAAATCGCAACTTTCTGATGCATCGGCACCAAAGATGGTTTTTTCTCAATATTCTATATCCGCTCATGCACATAAATATTGAAATTTGGTTCACTGGATACTTTTTAAGCCAAATTAGATTCTGAGCTGAAAATTTCTCAAAATTCTCATATGTGTATATCACTGTATACAGGGTATGTCACAATGTCACGACGAGCTTACACTATCTTAATATCAAGAATCAGTTGGGAGAAATCCATGAATTCATTTAAAATATTTTCGACAGAGTGCAGTGTTGCCGCCTCTACTAGAAAGTAGTAGCAACATTGATATTTCATATAGAACACCCTGTATTTTATTGCATTTTTAGATTCTCACTGAAGAGCTGATTTAAACAAAACATCACACTTGGGGTCTATTGAAAATGATTACAGACATATAGGGTGTTCAAAATGAAACTATTCATTATTGGTCAAAACAGCTCACATGTCCCTATCTCAACTTTTGATTCACTATCTACTGATATTCAATCAGAACAGAGACAGGGTGGTTCAAGATTCAGAATTCTGATCACCCTGTACATGAGAGTAATGTTATGTTATCTGGAGTATCTTTTTTGTAGTAAATAAGTAACACAATCCAAATTTCATAGTCAAACCCCTTTCTTTTCATTGGCATATAAGTTAACAAATCAAGTTCTTAGCCCATGGAATGAGTTTTATTGCCCAGTAAAGCTATGCCAAAATGTATTTTGTGAATTTTAGTGAAGCCTCATAAGCCAGCACCCAAAATAAGCAGCTTTGTACTGAAGTAGGTTTGTCAGTTTACTTGTATTGAATTATTTTGTTAAGACCCTCTATGGACACCCTGTATTTCATATCAAGGCACAATGTTTCACAAGATGTTTTTCTGATGTCAGTGGACTCTAAATATGATAACAGTGAAGTTTTTGAGACCAAATACCAGGGCATGATATTTACAACAGCCTCAGTATGGATTTGCCATCAGCAGAATCACTCTCACTGGTGATTTCTGGAGAATATCCTGACATTCTATAGAGCCAGCTAATCTTCATTTTATATTCAGTTTTACAGAGGATGTCATTTCAGTTGCTGAAATATGAATCCAGTGAAAAAAAATTGTTTTTGGGAATCTAGTACCCAGTGAAGACATAAGATTAGAAAATTAATGTGAAATATCGTCAAAATCATAGTACCTGCATCCTGCATAAGCTGAGAATCATGCATATATATCACTTCAATAAAGTTATTATGGGTAAAGAGGCAGAGCAACAAAATATTGAATGCAGACATCAATAGTTTTACAAGTAACTGATAAAACAAAAAGAAAATGAAGAGCTCACCTGTGAATACCACTACTCAATATTTTTTAAGGAATTGAAGACGAAATATTCACACTTCATTCCTCTATTTGAGATTTCCTGAAATTTCTCAACATTCTTGGAGAACAATCACAAAAATTGATTTTCATACCATCTCTAGGAATCTGAAACCAAATTATTTACCAGAATATGAAATTTTTGTTTCTACTTTCTGTAGTCTCAGTTCTGTTTTATTTTTTTCATCCAGCTTTTCTTTTAATTCACCTATTCTTATTCATCAGTTTTCACTGTTTTCAGATTCTGAGATTTCCGACTAAGAAAAAAAAAAATAAAAAAGTTGCGCATTGCGCCCCCTGGTGAAACGAATTTTTAGACCAATCAGATTTCATGCCTTTAGAGATGAGAAGTAGATGAATGTGATCCGAAAAGTGCTGTTCCGCAATAATGCGTTCTTCTTATTTTTGTTTCTTTAACATCGGATCCTTTCTGCAACTGAGGCTAATCACCGACGCCGGTGAGTCATATCGGTGAGTACACTACTGCACTACTCACAAGTTCAAGTGCCTCAAAATTTTGGTGAATCCTATTTTAGACAAAATGTACACGTTTTTTTTTATTACAGCTATTCCGAGCTTTTCTACGAAAGCTGGATGTGCCATTTTGCATTGGCACTCCTCACTCCAGAACTTTCATACTTTTCAAGTGAAGATTAAATAACATAAAATAAATTGATCTTTGCATGTTTTATTCTGGTCATGGTCATTATATACAATAGCTACAGACCTACAGACATATTTAAATATGTTATTAACAAATACCACATGGGAAGTTGATGAAATTGTAACTAAAATAAATATAAATTTTGATGATGAAAGTCCACCTGGAAGACAATCAATGAAAATTATTGAATTTGAGAACTGTTATTCCTGTTTACTATAATTAAAAAAAAACTGAATAATTGTGTTTGCATATTTTTCAAAATCCTTTATTTTATGTCAATAAACAAAATGCATCAATATCTTTTTCAATCGACTTTGGGTACCTATTTTTCAAATTTCATGAATAAATTCCCAGTAATACCACAGATTAACAAACCTTATGTTAATCTGTGGTAATACAGTGGGAATGTACATTATACAGGGTGATTCAAACATACTTTTAAACTCTGATAAGTAACAGTTCTATGGCTTGAAACATTTTTTTGTCAGTCACCATGTACAAAAAATATATTCAACAAATATGTTATAAATATAAAATATATGATCATTTTCAAGGTATAGGAGGTAAAAATTATTTCTATCTATTGGAACAGTGAACAGCACTCAAAATTCTTTATGTACCAGCTAAAACAAATAAATTTTGTTCTCTTTGAGAAAGAGGACTAGTCTGAATAATATGCATAATGCAACATATGATTTTTAATTTCATCCAAGGTACTAATATTGTCAGTTCTGTTATACTGAATTGTTTCTTAAAAAACCCTAAAGTATGAATTAACAGAAAATTAGATATCATCAAATACCTATATACACAGTATTAATAATGGAGCCCTATCCCAGGAATCCCAGAATTACATAACAGAATGAATTCAAGGAAAAACACCAATCCTTTTAGGCCAATGGTTGTTGAGTATTCTCATTTGTGGGTTTGATTTGGCATCTACAAAAACATTAACAATTTCAATGACAAATCCAATATTATATATAATAATAAAAGTAGTTTACTTGTTTAATAATCATTTCCAATCTAGCATCAATCTAAAACAATAAGAAATCAAAATAAATAATGATTGATTTATCAAAATTTTGGATTTGGGATAGTGTTTTTCTAAGATATGCATATTATGCATTAGATGACTTCAGATAGCCCCTATATTATGTATATATTGAAATATATGTATACCCTCGCCGATTTTACATGGCACATAAAAACATGTCTTCTAGTGGAAGCACAAGAATCATAAACTAAAAAAGTCTCATATATTTGCGAAATAAGGCAATACCTACCTATGTTCAATAAACAAAAACAAAAAAAATAAATATAAATACCTGCATTCACACAGGAAAGTTTATAGGATTTTCTAATGTCTGATGTAATGGTTTAGAAGTTAATGTAAACTCCTGTTTTATCATGCTTTTTTAAATATACCCCTCCAATAAAGTATGATATTTTGCTTTTGAATCAGATGTTATAGGTAGAATAAGTATTAGTAAAACAGATATACTTTTCTGTATGTATGCAGTGAATAACTCACAGAGTACTTAAAGCTCTGTAGATTCATCACATCTTGTGGAACATAAAACTTTCTTAGTAGCTGAGCCTCAATTTTCCTTACTGCTATGAGCAACATTTTCTCCCTCATCATCTTCATCTTCCTCTAGTAATTTTTTTGCCAATTGAAGAGCATGAAATTCATTATAATGCTTTTTTCTTTTTTGTTCAAACTCTCTCCTTCTTTGTCTTTCTTCTTCTGTTAGTTCTTCATCAGAAGAGTCATCAGAATCTTCTACCATAGCTTTGGGTGGCTTATCTGCCCCTATCCTTATTCTAAAACAAATTATCTGAATAGATTATAATGAACTTTTCTATATGATTGCTTGCAATAATTATTCAATTTTCATGTTGTTGAATCAGGCCACATATTTTGAAGAAAATAAACATGGTGTCATTTCATTTTTCACATATTTTGCAGTGATATTTTAGAGGCCTAGTGGTTCTGCTTACTTTTCTGCTAATTCATTGGCATCTAACCAATCTACATTGTCCATGTCAGCATGGTTATAAGGTGTTTTAGGTTCAGCAATTTTCATGTGACCATAATCTTTTCCAGGAGGATGTAATGTAGCAATTATATTCATTTCGTCCCATTTCGTTTCTTTAGCTTTCCTGAAACATGAATTTTTGAACAAGGTTGAAGGGATTGATTGAATAATAAATAATCCCTGAACATAGTGAACAATAACTCTTCAAGGTGTAAACATATCAAAACGTAAATTCCTACTTTGCTGCGCTAGGCTGTGGTTCAGGCTTATCAAAACTACTGGAATTTTTTAAAATGCCCTTTGATGGCCTTTTTTGTAAATTTTCTGCCATTGTATAACAAAATTGACAACATATAAGAATATGACATTCATGACAATATTGACATTTGACAATCTTAAAAGACAGCTTCAGAACGGTCATAACATTGACACTTGACAGCTAGTCTTCTGTCAAAAATGCTAATTTTGTCACTTGTCACCTTGTCACCCAAGTCATCAACACGTCATCACTGACAATGCGGTGTTTTCATATCACAAAATTTTACTAGGACTACTGAATATTGAGGCATTTCGAATATATATTATATCTGATTTTATGGAAAGATCAATTGAATACAAGAATTTTGTGAACGACGTATTGATAGGTTGGCTATTTGAATAGCAAATGAGTAGTACCAAATTCAACTTATTCAACAGTCGGAGATGCAGATTTCATAAATTTGTTCGTTGAATCATTGTTGTGTTTAGGCGGCAACACTGTGTGGAGTTGTCAATTTTTTGTTTTGGGTTTGTTTTTGCAATTTGCTCATTGTTTGGTTTATGAAATAGATGGACAAATTGTGATATTTTTTGATTTTCTGAAATGGACATATAAATATATTCCCAATTACACTGTATTCCTGTTGATCTTGTATTCTTTCTCCAGGAATTTCTCAAATAACTGTTGGTAAGAGAGTATGCGCATGCGTTAATTTAAAAATAGTTTCAGGATCAAATATCTTATGAAAATTTTCATTTTCAGTCTTGTTGCTTGCGTAGAGGGTTGTTGTGTCGTCGCTGGTGTCTAAAAGTGCAGTGCCAAATTCAGTTGAATCAAAGATATAAAGGGTGAGTGAAATTAGATTATTTGGTCATGTCTTTTGGCCCTACTATTGCTCTAGTAGATATATATACTCGTAAACTTGCCAAGAGCACACCAAGAGGCAATGTCTTCAGAGGATTTTTGCCATTTTCGTGTTTTGTACTCACACAGGGTAGGACTGGTTGAACTATGGAAGTATAGGTGTGTGATCAACATTTGTAATGCTTTGGTTGTTATGTTCTCATTCTGGTGTTAGTGGTGTTCATTATTTTGGCAAGAATGAACTGTTTAATCAACTTTTTCAGTCAAAAATGCAGTTGGTTTTTGTTTTTGTAACTTCCCTATGTTGTGGAACCTGAAACACCCTGAAATAATGAAATAATAGTTGGTACCTAGGTAATGTCCCTATGGTCCCATTTGTCCTATCACATGCAAATAATCCTACAATAACAATTTCAATATCCTTAAACAAATATTTGGCTGTCATTAAAGTCATTATCCACATTGTTGTATAACTTATATGTGCTTATATTCATTCATACATACATGCCATTAAATTTGCTATTTTGGTGCTCTGACTAAATCCTAGGTTAGGTTGCAGGTGAGTGGGGCGAATACCTACTATTAAGTCGGTGGATTAGGTAGGTATATAGATGTTATATGAATGTGTAGGTTGTTTATACACAAATATTTAAAATTTCAAGACATTTAATGAAATGAAGATATTTAGTAAACTTACCTCTACCGACTCTACCCTCGACTCTACCTCTACCTATTTTCCAAACACATCTAACTGACATTCCTGTATTTGACAAATGTTTTGGAATATATCCAAGATGTTCAAAATAACTTGTTGTTCTCTGATGTGTCTGATGAAAAATTTATTCAACACACCTTCTTCTATTACTATTCTCAAATATTCAAGAAACGTGCATGGAGAACTTGAACCACAACGTTAGGTATCAAGATAACATGGAATTTGGTATTTCATCACGAAAATTGTCAACGTTTCTATTGGGCTTTGAAATTAGACTACTTATTGAAGAAGATCATGGATAAATCCGAAACGGGTGTTCTCAGACCCATGTCATCATATAAAATTGAACTCGTCTTTCTGAGCTCTATCCAAGAACGAAATGAAATATAGGGTATTCCATATGAAAATTTCGAGAAAATGATGGGTTTGCAAAATACGTCATCACTTTTGGCAAATTCAAAATTTCTAAATATTGACGAAATATCAAGACGTTTCTATAGGGCTTTGACTTTTGAACTCAGCTTTGAAATTTGGCTATAGTTGTTGAAGAAGATCATGGATAAGTCCGAAACCGGTGATCTCAGACCCAAGTTCATATATATCATTGAACTCGTCTTACTGAGCTATATCGGAGGACGAAATGTTAAGGGTATTATCATATCGTATGTTTGGTATGTCACAGGCATATTGATCATTCCGGGGATCATCCTGTATAGTTGACATCTAAAAAAAAAAACAGTTCATATTATGACTATAAACAACTTCGCTTTCACGCTTTCCTTCCAAAATTTCTGGCATGTTTCCTCCGAGGTTTTTCCTTCTCGCCCAAAACATCTCAATCTAGATATTGCAATAGATTAACTATGATATTACTAACTGAAACTAAGCTGTTGTTGAAGGTCTGTATTTCGTGTGTTTCTTCATTGATTAGGTTATTATTGATGACTGAAACTTGACAAACTATGGACTACCTATTTTCAATGGCGTGGTCCCATCAGATGGTTCTAAATATAACTTGTTGATTGTTGTAATTTAGTTTGTTTTATGGGTGGGTATTTATATTCCCATCGAATCCTCGAAAACGGCTTTCTTATTTTCTAAATCTTGTACATAGCTTCTATAACATGAACCGTGTCAATGTCCTTTTTGGTATTTTTAGTTCAGTCAGACATGATCATGCTAGTGTGAAGAATTCTCAATATATACCCGAGTGTATACCTAACACTGAATACATTGCAACGAAAAGGAAACATGAAAATGTGTGAACACCGAATGAAAAACGGCAGTAATTGTTAAGTTCGTCCTAAAAGTATTTGCGGGACCTAGTTACCTATGTGGAACCGCTGCCAAATTTTTTTTTATCGTTTGGAGCGCACGAAAGAGAATCCCTATAATGTTCAAAGAACATCGTGCGTTCCTAGGGAGGATAGGGATAGGAGGTAGGTATTGGAATTTTTTTTGAACTTCTGGAGATTATATATGTTGTTGGGAATCCTTCCGCAGGCAATGAATTCCAGAGCCTAGCCGTTCTATGGATGAAGGAGTTTTGATAAAGTGCTGTTCGACATCTTTCGAGGTTGACGTCGAATGTAGATTTTTCGGCTAAAACATCTTATTCATTTCGACATCGATATCTCATGACAACAAAATATACCAGAAAAAATATACAACATACTTACCAACACGATACCCATAACAGTATGTCGTATAATTGTCAAATGTCGAATAGAAATTATAGAAATTATTTCAACATGAGATCAACGAGCAATGTTTCAATAGCTCATTTAGTATTCAAAATCTAAAGCAGATTATTTTGGGAATGAAATGTGGTTTAGTTGTGTCAAATCTCAAATCTGTAACGAAAAGTTTTTGGTCCAGTGGCGTTCTTGTTTGATGGTTTATTTTGTTGAAAAACGCCAGGAAGAACGTGTTCAAAATTTTGAGAATATTAAATAACCTCACTAAGACCACAAGACGTTACAAACTGACCTATGTCACACCACATAGAAGCTTATATATGAATGCCCATACAGACACTCATAGAAGTTCACATTTTTTAATAGATATATCGATGATGATTGAATACATTCACCGGCAAAAGAAACCGGCCACCAAAAAAATTGCCCAAATTGTACACCCTGTAACTTTTTGTATCCTTGTCTAATTTTGGTGAAATTCCGATCAAATCGCAGATTCATGTTCCGGAAGGATAGCCTCAATGCCTCAATATTAGTTTCCGTTTAGAGCTGATGACTTGATCATTATACAGGGAAAAACCAAAGTTACTTCCTCACCCATTACTTCTGAACGCCCTGTGGCGAATTTGAGTGGTTTAACTTGGTTTCATTGTGCTTTGGATTGAAGTATCGTCCCTTCTCCACACAATAGTATTTGATTCACGTCGATATCATATTTTAAAGAATTATTGTTGATAAGAAGAAAAAACCCATACTTTCTTAAAACACTTGTATCTTCTCTTGAAAGGAAGATATTGACGCGAATCTAGAACCATTCTGTTGAGAAGGGATGAAAAAGGATCACACTTCAATTCAAAACATGATGAAGCAGAAGGTTGTAGAATGATTCTGAATTATTTTTAATAAAAATTAAAAAAATCCATACTTTCTTAAAACAATTGTATCTTCTGTTTAAAAGTGGTGATTGACGTGAATCAAAAACCATCGTGTTGAAAAGGGATCACACTTCAATCCTAAACATAATGAAGTTGAACCACTCACCTTTTCCACAGGGCGTTAGGAAGTTGAAGGTGAAAGAGTAACTTTTGTTTTTCCCTGTATAATGATCAAGCCATCAGCTTTTCTCACGAACTAATATTCAGACTTACATTCAGAAACACGAATATACAATTTGGTCGAAATTTCACCAAAATCTGACAAGAATTGAAAAAGTTACAGGGCGAACAATCTGGCAAAATTTTTTGGTGGCCGGTTTTTTTTTGCCGATGAGTGTATATCATTTCATTTCTCATTTATTTATCCGTGTTTGGCGTTTAGAATTGTTGGCGTTATATTTTTGTCTTTTGTTATTTAGTCTGAGAATATCAGCATTCTTGGCATTTTCAACACATGAAAGATTTTAGGTATAGTTCAGCGAACGCGACACAAACAGTGAAAATTAAAATCGATGTTTACATTTCCTTCGTGTTCAGCCGGGTGTAAAATTGACACGTTTTTCTTATGAAATGAATTCCTAATAGTCGAATTCATTAAGAAAACTACTATAGATAAAGAGAGATCATTATATTTATCCTTTGCTCACCCGAGATAAACGTTTTCGGGATTGGGTTGAATATTTTCATTCATACTAGGACGATGAAAGATGGTGTGACGTATTAGTCCCAATACGCCTATTTTCCTAGAGATCACCAATCACACTGCAGCACTGCAGAATAGCAAGATATTAGAGAGAGATAGCTACAGTTCGGGACTAATTCGTCACGGCTCCACCTCCATGTCAGGCCTTTTCGAAATATCGAATGGAATATTCTGCTTTCAAAACGCTATAGATTCGATTCCCTTCACCTTA